TAGACCAGTTAGACTAGTTATACTATACGGACTAGTTGACCTAGTCATACTATTAATACGATTAGTCATAAGGAAATACGACTTACTTCCAAAGGATTGAGGAACCCAGGAAACGTCCAACTCGCTTTCTCTGGGATCGATCCATTGAAATGCTTCCCCATATGATAAATCTCTTTGATGTTGTCATCGAAAGTAAACCGTCCCCACGGGAATGTCTCACACAGCTCAAGACTATCAACCATCCTCAGAATGAAAGGCTCTATGGCTACTCCATGCTTCGATTTCCCTCTTATCACTGTCGCCAAGAAGTAGAGGACAGCCATCTTTAGCCGATTCAGAGTGCCATTATACCTCATCCCTTGAAGTGCTTTTAGGACAACTTCAGCTGTAATTTTTTTGACTTCCTTGAAATGGTTATTAGCAACCCTCATGCCACATAACTTCGGGTAATTGGCTGCGTACTCGTGGTAGTACAGTCCCGAGAGGAGGGCATGCTCCCTGATGGAGTATCTAATGGGCACTCCATTTACCACAAACCAAGCCTGTCTACCCTTCTTCGTTCGTGCCGTGCATAGAAGCAACATCCACAGTCCCATCACCTTTCTCGTTGCATAAGTTTTCATGTAAAATAGGTGCTTGAACTGGGGGTGGTTCAGAAACCAACTCTTCTCTTCCTTTCCAAAGTTGGAAATATATCCTCCTTAAATTTGTGTTGCAAGCATTTGGTACTTAGCTTACATCCCTTTCGATATTCGGTGGGATTGAAGAAATATCCGAGAGGCCGCATTGGTTCTTCTACATTACCATCATGCTACAAAAATAATAAAACCGATTTAGTATACTGCTGGTACAACTAGTACGACTAGTACGATTACTAGGCCAACTACTGTCAAACTAGGCCAACTAGTCCGATTAGTATGACTAGAATCTAGTCATACAATTCGGACTAGTTGACCTAGTCATACTATTAATACGATTAGTATGACTATTTGAACCCAATTCCATCTCAGACTCGACATTACATGCAATCCAAAATGATCGCACTACTCATTCTAGTTGACCTCCTTAGTCTAGTTGAACTAATTAGATTAGTTATACTAACCGTTCTAGTTGAACTACTCATAGTAGTCGGACTAGATGGACCCAATTATAGTAGCCATTGTACATCAAAATTTAGGGTTTACCAGTGGTGGTTGCGACGACGAACCGATTGCCGGTTCTGGAATCGGAGGTGGGCCAGTTGCCGGTTGCAACGACAAACCAGTTTCCGGCTGCACCGTCGGACTTTCTTCTGCTCGTTCAGTCACCGGACCCTCCGGAGTCGGAGGTGGAGGCGGAGCACTGGAAATTCCGGTCATTGATTTCTTCCGCGACTTCTTCTCTGTTCCTCGTGGTGCCTCCGGACGCTTCTTCCCCTTTGTTTTCTTCTTCGCCGGCGGATTTGAACTCGACAGCACCGGACTTTCTTCTTTTCATTCAGTCACCGAACCCGCCAATGGAGGCGGAGGCGGATGTGGAGGCGGAGCACTGGAAGTTCCGTGCTTTGATTTCTTCCGCGACTTCTTCTATTTTCCTTGGGGTGCCACCGGACGCTTCTCCACCTCTGTTTTCTTCTTCGCCGGCGAATTTGAACTCGACGGCAGCAGCGACGGAGTATGATCCGGCGAAGGCGTTCTCAACCAAACTGATTTTCCCCCTTTCCTACGAGGCACAATGAGATCGATAAATCAGACTCGACGGTGGTTTCTCGAAGGTGCGACGTCGGCGACGAGTGATGTTTCGTGTTTCGATCGTGGTGGAGAAGATGAAAAGTTAGGGATTTGATCGAAAATTAGAGAGAAAGAAGTTGTTTTTCATTTCTGTTTGAGTCCGAGTTTGGACCGGATTTAGATTTAGGTTTGGACAAAAATCTAATTTATTATTGTTTGGTTGGTTCGTAATTTAGAGAATTTATTATTTCTTTCGTTGTCTTTTCACACCCTTTCGTGTAAAATATAAATCAAAAAAAAAAAAAATTTATAATAGAAGCATATCAAATTTTGCTGTTGTACGGAAAGCATTTTAGATTAGACTCTCCATACGATAATTCAGATATTTTATTTTCTTTTAAAAATATTGTCTTTTAATATAAGTCCAAATTTATGTGGTGGCCGTTTAATTCAAGTTTCAGGAATCCTTTGCATTGATCGAATGAAAGAGCAAAGGGAAAAAATGTCTACAATACTCCTCTCGCTTACGGATTGAGCTGCAATACTTTTTTTTTAATTTAAAAGGTTTTTTAAATGGAAAAAATGAGAAATTACTGAAAACCAGACCAAATCTAATAAAATTGCAATTTCTACCTAGGCCTAACCCGAGAAAATTTGGGCTTTAACGATGGATCGGGTTAACCCTAAAATCACTCGAATCTCTTCGAATTTCCTTTCAAATTTTTGAAAACATCGATACTCGACTCATTCTCATCATCTCTCCTCATACACCAAACCGTCATCTCAAGAGTCTCTCATCGAAACCGGAGAAGAAACTCTAGCGCGGCAGTAAAAAGAGGGAGAATCGACAGAGAACAAAAGATGTCGAGGATGAGAAAAATGCGTAAGGAGAACCCGAGTAGTCAGAAGCCGGCGGCAAAGAAGCAAAAAATGCGTAAGTAGAACCTGAGCCCGAGTCAGAAGCCGGCGGCGAAGAAGCGTAAGACAACAAAATCGGGAACGACGTCTCGAACGACAGAGGAGATTCCGGATGGAGAGGCTCCTCCGATAGTCGAAACACAAACGACGGAGGGGGTTCCAGCTCGAGAGGCTCCTCCTCCTCTGATTATTGAAGCAGAAACGACGGAGGCGATTCCGGGTGGAGAGGCTCCTCCTCTGATTGTCGAAACATAAACACCGGAGGGGGTTGAGTTCTCGGAGGGGGTTCCGGCTTGGGAGGCTCCTCCTCCGATTGTTGAAGCGGAAACGACGGAGGCGGGTGACAAGACGGTCGAAGAGGTAACCGGAGGCAGAGATGAGTCAGAAGGAGAAGCCTCCGGAGATGGTGATTCCGATGGCCGGAATCCTGTAAGTTAATTATCTCCTTCTCGAACTCTTTTGCATTTTGATCACAATTCTCAATTCTCAATTGTCGGAAATTGTAAAACTAGGATAATTAGGTAATACTAGCATGTTGGTAAAACTAAGTAAACTGGGTAAAACTAGTACTATTTTGTAATATTCTGAGTTTGGTAATATTCTGAGTTTGGTATTAATATTGTATGTATGTTGCAGGGTGCCTTCGAAGAGACGATTGCCATGCGACCAGACATGTACTTGAAGCTTGATCAGTATAGCAAGAGCATTAAATTACCAACCCGGTGTTTCGTCCAAGAAGTTATGGAGACTTTTGAGAAAGTGGATCTGACTCCGCCAGAAAGAGAGTGGTTTGAGCAGCATCCGCACTTCTGCCACATTCTTCACATGGCGAAGAGCAATCATATGGTTCAACCATTGTGGATGTTGTTGCTGCGTACTGCTAGGATCGAAAGGCAGAAGGAGGCTTGGTTTGTGGTGAATGGCGTTCCCATCCGATATGTGTTACAAGAGCATGCTTTGATCTCAGGACTCAATTGCAGCAACTACCCTCTCTATTGGAATAAAAGAGGCAACTCTTACTTGAAGCGAAAGTATTTTCTTGACAAAAAGAAGGTTTTAAGGGAGGACGTGAAGAAAAAGCTTGAGGAGATGGGCCCGGATGATAGTGGAGATAGGCTCAAGATGGCGGTGTTGTATTTCTTGAGCAGCATCATCTACTCTCCCACCAAAACCGGAGACAACGCGAAACCCGTGCTCCAAGTATTCTTAAAATACGCTAATGATTTGGATAAGTGTAAGACATTTTCTTGGGGGAGATTGTCTTTTGATCGCATCTTAGAGTCCATTTCGGATACGATGAAGCACTTTGTTGAGAAGGGGTTGGGCAGTGCATGGTCGTTTCCTGGTTTTTGCATTCCTTTGGAGGTAAAAGATTGTCTTTTGCATTGTTTTCCTTTTCATTTTAAGATTGTCTTTTGCATTGTTTTCATTTTCATTTTAAGTTAACTCTAATTATATGTGTATGTTGGTAGCTTCTGGCGATGGAGGCCATTATGCCACTGAGACAGAGCTTCCGAGAAGCTGTACCAAATCCTAACGTCGATTGTCCGAGGATGTGCAGGTCCAAGTGGAAGAAATGCGACCTGAGAGGCTGGCCACTTGAGACTGTGTATGAAAAGCTCGGATGCGAGAACAAGGTTAGTAGTAATTGCAGATTTGAAAAATACAATGAAACTTGTTAACATTGGTTGTTTAAATGTGTTTAACTTGACAGGACATTGACAGTGTGATGATACCTTCGGAGGAGGAGAATGCGATGTTGGATTTGATAATGGAAACGAAGGGCGATGTTGATGAGCACGATCCTGTTGTGGAAAGTTGGGAAAACAAATTGATAATGGATTGGCGTTGTGTTTGAAGACATGAAGGAGGAAGATGTGAAAGGGCAAGAAAAAAATGGTGGAGGAAAGAGCAAGGAAAAAACCCCGAGCTAAGAAAATGTCTCTGGAGGATGTCGTTAGCGTGATGGAGACCATGACAGAGCAGTTGGGTTTGCTCAACAACATGGTCCATAAAATTAATGACAGAATAAAGCCACTTGAAGACTATGTGAAAGCGAGAAAGGATTCAGGCTCTTGAATAAGAGAAATCGTCTACAATGTTTGTTTTTATATTTGGTAGAAATTTGTTTTGATTTGGAACTAGTACTTTTTTTTTTTTTGAACTAGTACTTTGTTTTTATTTGGTACTGTACTTTGTTTTTATTTTCGATCTCGGATGAACTATGTTTTTAATTTGAATGATTAAATTCCTGTATTATTAGGTAAAACTAGTCCTAGTAAGTGTTGCTAGAAAAAGAAATACTAAGAAAAGTTAGTAATACTCGGTATACTAAAAAAATACTAAGTAACATTAGTAGTACTAGTAGCCGCCATTGATAACTTAAGAAAATACAAGCAAAATGGGAAACGTTAGTCTTGAACAATAATCAAAACAACAATTAAAAGAAATTGCAGATTCGTTAAGTCTTGAGCTTGGCTATCTCTTCGGCTTGGATCTGAATCTATTTTCGCATTTCTTCAATCGTCTTGCTCTGCTCTTCAACTTTCATAACTAGCTTCTCAATCTCTTGTTCGACTCCGAAAACCCATAGCTGACGAAAGTGGAGTCCATCATCCTAGCAAAAAAACAAAAAAAATGAGCAACATCCATTATAGTTATATTAGTATTCCAAGTTTTACACCCGAAGAACATCTAAATAGGTTAACCTAGTTTCACTAGTTTTACCCAGAAAAAAACCCAGATCTGAAATTATAGAGATTATACCTTAAATTTGGTGCAGGTAAAGTACCTATTGCCTGGTTAAGTATCGAAATCGTGTTTAAATTTTGGAGAAGGAGATACATCGTGCTTGATAGATCCACCACATGGGCATCTTCTCAGAATCCCATATTGGCCGTCGGCGACGAATCCAACCATGTCCCAATGCTGCTTCATCTTCTCCATTTCCTTGCGGCGCCTCTTCTCTTCATTCAACTCCTCCTCGTATGGGTCGATGAGAAAATTGTCAGTGTAGTGATAGCTAGAATCCGAATCCATTTGGATCATGTGAGAGAGAGAGGAGAGATCGATTTTAAGAGAGAGAGGGAGAGGAGAGGATGAGAGAGTTCTTTGAGAGAGAGATGAGAGATCGATTTTAAGAGAGAGAGAGAGATTGATTTTAAGAGACAGAGAGCGTTCGAGAGTTTGTAATGAATTTTTGATTAGATTGAAAATTACACTCTCCTGCGAAAAAATTCAATTTCCCGCCGAAAAATTTAATTTCCCACCGAAAAAATACACATAGTAATTCCAGATTGTTAGTTATACAGAATCTTGAAATAGTATTACACCACCTAAAACTTATATTACATCACCTAAAACTTACATTTTCTAGTATTACAGTTTAATTATATGGTTTTCAATATGAATATCATTGTCCTATGCAACAATAAGTTTGAATATGGTATTTTTGTACCATTCACTTAACAAGTTGGTTCTCCATAAGAAAGTATTTCTTAAAGTATAAGGGAATGTTAAAGATCGATTTTAGAACTCTGGTGCAACAATAAGTTTGAACGTGTTTTGTTAATTCTTAGGTTTGTATGACATATAAGTTGTAGTTCTAACAAAATTAACTAATTTAGGTGATTAGTTTTGGTTTTTAAATAACAATACATAATTACTTTTAAAAGTCACCAATCATGCATAGTTATACCAGTATTACACAGAAATCATACCATAGTACTACAAAAGCGAAAACGAGTTACATCATGCAAAATCTTCTCCATATGGTAACCCTGCTAGTGTCCTTCCCCGCTTGAGTTTGTTCTGTGTCCTTCCCCTTAGGCGCCTTTCTCCCGTTGATGGAAAACTTTTTTCTTTTGGACGACCCTTTTTCTTGACGCGATTCGGAGGTATTATCTCCTTCTCCATGATGTAATCCGGTACAATCCACGGAGACATATCGGGCACCACGTAGATCGATCTGCTATAAGCCAATATCCACATCTCCATGAAATAGTATTTCGAACACAAGTCATAATATTCTATGCGGATATCACACCTTCCATTATTCTTGAAGGAGATGAAAGCGGCTAATGCGTGGATACAAGGATACCTATGAATATCGAAGAATCTGCAACTGCAAGTTTTATTGTCCAAGTCCACCAAATAAAATTTTCCCTTTTCTGACATGACTTCTTATTCAAGGTCACAACCGTTTACCTCCCTGACATCTAATTTCTCAGCTATAGGCCAATTGTCGTGCAAGAAGTTCTCAACCAAAGGAACCAGTTTCTGAGCACTCGTTCCTGCCACAGACTCGTTCCTATGCTAGTTAAACTAATCAGAAAACTTTTGAACTATCATATCAAGCATGGGTATTAATGAGTACTTCCTCGCATCCCTAAAAGTTTTGTTTAGAGATTCCACGGAGTTACTTGTGTCGAGGTTTTATCTAGCAACCGGAGAAATACATCTTGCCCACTTTTGTGGCACAGTGGTCTCCTCCACATACTTCGCCGCTGAAGGAAATCTCTGCTTAAACGCCTCATAATGCATTGAACTCAGCCACCGTATGAGCCTTACCGCACTCTTGGAATTTTTTGGCGACAACGGCTCTGCTTGCGCTTGGAGCATGACCTTTCACGTTTTGAGCCAAATACCATAAGCAAAACCCATGATGAGCTTGTCGATAGACGTTAGCTACAGCGTTGATGAGGCTGGTATTTCTGTCACTCACAAATACCAACTCCGAAGAGTCGTCTACAATAGTTTTCAGCTTTTCGAAAAACCAGCCCCAACTAGCATTGTTCTCGCCGTCGAGTACACCGAATGCATGGGATAAATGTGACAATTTGGATCCTGAGCTGCGGCGAAAACAAGTACACCACCAAATCCGGCCTTGAAAAAAGTTGCATCCACCACAATCACTTTCCTCATGAACTGAAACCCATCAATGCAAGCTCCCAAAGCTATGAATAAATAATTGAATTTTCCCACCATATCCAGTTCCACAGCTGTTTTCGTACCCTTATTCAGCTCCTCTAACACGTACAAATAACGATACAACATCCTGTAGTTATCTGCCGGAGTACCACGCATATCAGAAATTGCTTGATTCTTTCCTCTCAAAGCCTTGGAGTATGATACCTCTACACCAACTTTCCTCTTCACAAGTGTCATGATTTCTCTAGGAGTTGGAGTCTCAAGTTTCCCGGGATAATGCTCACTCACAATAGCTGCAACTAGTCGTACTGATCCTCTCCTCTTCACGCTGCCTTCTTCACTCTCACTAGCACGGTTACATGTGTGCATATTCCTGTAAGTTCTAATCGAAAAAGCATCCGACTTTGCTATCTTTGCTGCTCGTACGTGCCACGTACAACTTCGTTGCACGTATTTTACCACCCATCGCTGAGTATCAGAATTTTTTATAACATATCCGAAAGGTTTAACAAATGCGCCTCTATGAACCACTTCTACAACAGCATTCTTACTAGGAAATTCTTGATCAATACTCAAATCCAAACCGTCTTCCCATGGCTCTAAACTCTGACTACATTCAACAACAGGTGGTGCCTCAACATAATAATCACGTATATCCGATGTTCCACACTGTTACCCCCACCATCGTCATCATCATCATCATCATCATCATTATCATCATCATCATCATCATCATTATCATCATCATCATCATCATCATCTTCATCATCATCATCATCATCATCATCATCATCATCATCCTCTTCTTCTTCTTCTTCTTCATTTCTTTCTCCGTTGTCAACATGCAACGTTATGACATTGGGTCCTATTGGTCCTATTTCTCCGCTTTCATCATCAATGCGCTGCGAATCTTCATAATTCATACCATAAGAGCTTCTCCTCGCTCTCGATTGTTGCACGGGCAGTTCCGGTGTACTCATCAACTCCACAATCAAAACACATCTACGGTTCTCATTATCAACATGCGATAGATATACCAACAGATCCTCATCATCACAAATATATGACTTTTCCTCACATCCAGCCAATCTTGCAATGTAACTCAATTGCAATTTAATCTTACTTTCATCTAACTCAAGCTTCTTGTATAACCTACCTTCTATCATCGGTATTGTTATCTCCTCAACTGATGTCTTCAACACTAGACCATTGATGCGACCTTTGCATTTATAATGTATGGTGACGTAGTTGCTCATTTTAACCAGCCAATAAAATCCCAAAAAAACTCATTCAATACTATTTTTTGTTCTCAGTTATATACTAGTTTTACTAGTTATACATCATTTCCCAGTATTTCTAGTATTACTAGTTATACTATTATCGCATGACCAAGATCCAGTTCTCAGATTCATTCGATTTAGAGATTTCAAAAACTTATAATTTACTACGATTCAGCCACTGTAATGCATTTGTAGCCAATATAGAGTCATATTCAATCCAGAAACATTCGTTAAACACCAATTTGCATGAAATCCAATTCAATCTATCATTTCTCCTAATTTCCAATTCCTAAAACTAAAAATTTCCTAAAAATTAACACCAATGATTTATTGCAACCAAACAGACCTTAGTTTTGGACCTCAATAAAGCTCCAACGGTGCAACAGCGGCGAACGGAGATCGACAGAAGTGGAGGCAATCATCGTCTCTCTCTCGTCGAGAAAGAGAGAGAGACAAATAATGGTCAATAGTCAATTCGAAATGATCAACTCCAATCTCGATTAATGGTCAATCATTAATGACAAAATGATCAATTTACATTATTAAGAATATTGTGGATCATATGATTACATTATTAAGAATATTGTGGATCATATGATAGTGATCGAGATCATTTCATTTCTCATAAGATGTCTGGAGCAAAGGAGAGGAAAAGGACCTAACAATGGCGTCTCTCTCTCTCATCAGCTCCGCTAATTTCTCTTCAATTCCGTCTCGTTCCTCTGTTTCCACTTCATTGCTTTATCCTGCTCCTTCTCTCCCTCACTTCCGATCATCGATCCGCCGCAATCACCGTCGTCTCTCCTTCTCCGTCATCCCCCGCCAAACTTCTCACTCCTTCCCCACTTCGATTTCTCGGGTTACTTTGCTCTCTATTCAATCAATTTCTTTTAATAATTTATGGCTAATTTGGGGAACCATTTAATATATTAGTGTTTCCATTTGTGATTTTATAGATTAGGTGTTCTGTAGATGAGCCATTGAAGGTGATGATTTCTGGTGCGCCAGCTTCTGGCAAAGGCACTCAGTGTGAGCTTATTGTTCAGAAGGTAAAATATAATTGCTGCTCTCTATCCTTTTCTTGTTTTGTTTCATTATATGATTAGTTTAACATTTGGAGAGTTTAGTGATTCTGTATATAAACATTGCTCTAATAATCAGTTTTTAACTTGAGCATGGTACTAATAAACAGCTAAGAATGGTTTAGAGTCACTTAACTCTCAAGTTAAAAACTGACTATTAGTGCATTTCTGAGATAACTTCAGATTGCGCTCATTAAGTCTTTCCCTTTTGAGGATCTAGCTACCTCAAGCGTAGCAAAGTATCCCAATGGCCTGAGAGCCCTGAGCTTGCTTCTGTTACTAATCCGTTGAAGTAGAAACAGCATCATCATTGTTGGTAGCGATGATAGCGTCTTCTAAGACGGTTTGTATATGTTCTTCCAGGATCTCTTATCTGATTGTCTTATGGGGTTCTGACTCCTGGTCCCTTCTCTCTTGAGTGCGGTTAAGATGGATATGCAATTAATTTATCTAGTGTACTGCACAATGCATAAAAAAACGATTGATGTGAATCAGAAAGTCTTATTTGCTTTCCAAAGGGTGCCAAGTTGTCATTGAATCATAGGCTGTACCATAAAACCTTGCCGAACAAAGCAAGTGATTGTGGTTTCTACCACATTTGATGTAAGGAGTAGTTACTACGTTTCTCTTTCTTGCTCCTGCAGTTTGGTTTGGTGCACATATCAACGGGGGATCTCTTGAGAGCAGAGGTGTCAACGGGGACAGAAATTGGAAAGAGAGCAAAAGATTTCATGAATTCGGGTAGTTTGGTTCCGGATGAAATTGTAATAGCGGTACTGGTTTAACTTACCTGCTTCGTGTATTATTTTATCATTCTTCCTCTAATATCTACTACCTTTCCAGATGGTGGCTGGAAGATTATCACGTGAAGATGCTAAAAAGCATGGATGGCTTCTTGATGGATTTCCACGGACTTTCGCTCAGGCGCAAAGTCTGGACAAGCTTAACGTCAGACCGGACATTTTTCTCTTATTAGATGTACGTGCAAAAAAAATCGCTTTTATTGGGTGTTAAAGGCAATATATGACATGTTCACTATCAGTCGCTATGTTTCTTTGCTTAGATTTCATTCTTGATGACAGGTTCCTGATGAAATTTTAATCGACAGATGTGTTGGTAGAAGGTTGGATCCAGTGACTGGAAAAATTTATCATATTAAAAGTTACCCTCCTGAATCAGACGAAATTAAAGCAAGACTGGTTACACGCCCTGATGATACGGAGGAGAAGGTTTATCTTTTGGGTTTATACTTGCTTCCCAATCATTATCTACCTTCCACTGTAATCTCATGAGTATATTTTGTTGCAGGTAAAAGCACGTCTGCAAATATACAAGCAAAATTCTGAATCGATTATTTCAGCATACTCAGATGTTATGATCAAGGTATTAGGCAATTTACTTCTTTTTTTTTTTTTTTTTACCTTTTTGGTTCCTATAAAGTATTGTGATGCCATCAATGATCTTTGTGGTTTGGTATCATTTCTTTCGAACACAGATTGACGCAAACCGGCCAAAAGAAGTGGTTTTCGAGGAGTCCCAGGCTCTACTATCTCAGATACACTTGAAACGAATGATAAAGACTGGCAAGTAGTCACAGATTTATAAAATATGTTTCTTTTTAACTTCGATTTTGTTACCGCTGTGTACCGATGCTAATTATGAAAAAGGTCCTTGCAGATAAAGCATCTGCTGTTCAGGTCCTTGAATAATACTACTCTTTGAATCTAGCAAGTAGCAGGAAGTTGGAGATGTTCTTATTTATGTTATGTAACATTTTTTTTCAGGATAACTGGAGAGGAATACCGACGAGATTGAATAACATTCCTCATTCGAGGGATATTCGGTCTTATTTCTATGAAGATGTGCTGCAAGCCACAATTAGATCTATCAAGGATGGAAACACTCGCCTTCGGGTGAGACTAATAGTCACAAATATATTTGCAATGTTGCATAATAAGTTTATTGTCGTTATTTCACATTTACTAAAGCAAGCTGCTTGCCTGGACTGATTCTGCTACAAATGACTAGGTGGACATAAATATCCCTGAGCTAAATCCTGAAATGGTATGTTGTTCTTGTTCATTTATATAGTTTCTGAAACTTCGTAAATTTTACCAACAATCTCGAGCTATTGTGATACCTAGGATGTTTACCGGATAGGAACCTTGATGGAACTGGTTCGAACTCTAGCTTTGTCATTCGCTGATGATGGAAAAAGAGTGAAGGTAGACATGGTTTCGAAGGCTAAGTGATGTAACTTGTATACGGTTTCACAATTACTGTTCATTCGGTTTCTTTTCTCTTCCAGGTTTGTGTTCAGGGGTCAATGGGGGAAGGTGCACTCGCTGGGATGCCACTGCAGTTGGCGGGAACTCGAACGATTTTAGAATTTATGGACTGGGGTGATGATGAAACTTTGGGAACATTCGTCAAGCTTGGTGCAATTGGTAACATCCGAAACCGAGTACTTTTCAAAATATATTGACAAAACCATGCTTAACGCTAGAAATATCTCTCGGTGTCTTATGGGTTTAGTAAGAGGAGAATGTTACAAGAACTGCACCAATCTTTGTGTATACATAATTAAACCTGTGGATGCATAATCAAGATGGATATATTTTCCGGATACAGTTAATAGACATTCTCCTGCTCTTGATTCTTTTGAGGTACATATGAACAAAGCTGTGTCGGTAATTACAGGTGGTAAAGAAGTTAATGAAGAAGACGACCTGTTCATCTTAGTGGCACCACAAAATGCCGTTGGAAACTGTATTATAGATGTACGGAGCTTGTAATGGTAGAATTCGTCATCCACGAATGTATTAAACTCATTTTTTTATAAAATATATTCGATTGCTTTTGTTAGGATTTACAAGCGATGACTACTGCTGCTGGGAAGAGGCCAGTTGTACTTATCAATCCTCGCCTCAAGGTACAGTTTCTTCGTTCATTTTCTATAGAGAGTCTATTTGGTAACAGTGTTATCTTTTGTGAGCTACATCTTTCGTATACATTATCATTCAGGACTTACCCGCTTCAAGCGGCATAATGCAAGTAAGCAGCACACAACAGTGATTACCAAACCATTTGATACAAACGTTACATTTGCTCTTATCATTTCCTTCGTGTGTCAGACAATGGGTAGGGAGAAAAGGCTTGAATATGCCTTAACGTTTGACAACTGCTATATATTCCGGCTTCTCTATTATGTCGGAACACAATACCCGATTATGGGCGCTCTGAGGTACTTTTGTTCGGATGTGTACTACATATTACTTTTCTTAACAAGAAAAAACACATATATAGTGTTTATTGATTCTGAAAATTTTACACTGATTTTTGTCAGGATGTCTTATCCTTACCGGTATGAGCTTTACAAGAGGGTGAACGAGGAAAATGGAAAGGAAAAATACGTCTTGATATCAACGTACTCTGAGAGGCCAACCCCTGACCAAATCAACGATGCCTTCTCTGGAAAATCGCGGTAAAGAATGTTTTCCTATGGTGCTTGTTTACAGGCTGTTCGGTTCATGATCATTATGAACAATAACTGACAAGTTTTTTCCACATTCAGGGAGCAAAGCAGGAAGCCGTCAGGAATCTGGTAATGAAAGCTTACTATATTACTTGGCATGTTAAATGAGGTTTCGTGTTTGTGAGTAAAGCTAAACAGAGAGGAATACTCGCAGGGGGTTCTTGGGAAGCGGGTTTTTTTAAATGAGCGAAGCTACTAAAGTTGTGGAACATTCATCAAAATGTTCATGTACCAAGCAGAGAGAGTGGTGAGATTCATTATATTCATGCTGCTACTTTTGGTCTATAATTTTCTTCTTTTGTTTGGTCTCGAAGTTTTTGATGATCTCATTAATGGCACATAAAAAACGTGATTATTAGTCTCCGACAATTAATGAGTAACCTCACTTTAGTTCACTTTGATGTCTAAATGGTCGAGAACTTCATCTAAGGTTTTCGGGACCACCCCAACTATGTCGATAAGTTTTCACTTGGGTCATATTCATCAGATTTCGCACGATACCAACTTCTTTTCTGAATGTGCATACATTGACTTTTCACTTTGTTTACTGATAGAATTTATTTGTGATTTAAACTTGTACGTAGCTTTTAGATAGGTTTAAAACTTGTATCAATGATAATAATCAAGTAAAGCTAGTTTAAGATGCATCAATGGGTAGATGTACTAGTATGTACACGAAAATGGGTAGAAAAACACTCACCTTTTATAAAAACCCTGACTTTTTGTGGGTTTTAAAACTCTGAACTTGTAAAATAATGGAAATGAGTCCCCAAGTAAATTAGCGTTTCGATTTTGCTTTTTAGTTAGAAAAAAAAAATTATGTAATGTATTTGTTGAAAAGGTGAGATGCTAACTTAAAACACTAGTGATCAATGACGGACGGTTTAAACCACTAATTGGATTGTTTGAAGATAATAAACATTAGTACTCATATAAAATTTAAACTAAATTTTAGTATTTAATTCATTTTTCATTATATTATCTTGTAGAGTTTCTTTGACAGATTTTACTAAGTCTGATACTGTTGAAAATAATATGAATGAATCGTTTAACAATGTGATCAATGACGGCAATTTAAACCACTAGTCGGGTTAAGATACATGGAAGGTTTTGTTTTATGTTTAAAAATTTTCGCCTAACCAACAATCATTTTTATGTGCTTAGCTATATTTTGTATGTCATTCTTCTTTTCTCTCTCTTCCTCCTTTTTTTCTCCGCCTTCTCTCTAAAACAAAAAAGCAGTTCGTGAGTGTTTTATTACAAGATTGTGAGCTTTCATAGCCATAATTTCGGTTTGGTTTTTCTGTTTTACAATTTTGTTTTTAAGTTTCTGGCTTTGGTAAATCCGTTTTGGATCTGGTTTTTTTGGATTTGATAAAACTTTCTTTATCAGATCTAGATCTAAATCGGATCTGATCTGTTTTGATTTTCTTTGCCAGCTTTTGGTTACCCTCTTCTAAATATTTGATTTCGCTTTGCTCATCTTGGTGTTTTGCTTTTTTTTCTGCAAGTTTCAATTTCGTTTTCTTTTGATGAAGTTAGTTTTGGGATTTCTTTCCCTCGTCCAGCAGCTTAATTTCCGTTTTACACCTTCTCAATAATCCTTCTCCTGGTGGTTCTTATTCAGCTGTACTTCGTTTTTATTTGGTATTGGGTTAAGTTTCGTTATGCAGAAGTTCTGGTGTTGTTTGGTTTTTTTTAGTTGTGTATCCCTTTTTCGCTCTGGTTCTTTGTGTGAGGAGGTATTTTGTGTTTCAAGAAGTTGATGTTTCCATTTGGTGGGCCTTGGGCAAGGATGGTGACCCGTGGGCAATGGGCAAAGACGGTGACTCTTGTTTACAGAATTCCTGAAGTTTTGAAATTGTGCAGATTTTAGTGCTAATATTAAGTTTGAGTGTTAGTTAAATTAGTTCTGTTTAAGTTGGGGTTTATTTTTTGGGAAATTTTGTTTTCCGCCGACTTACGAGGTGTTATTGGTTGTTGTATTTTAATGGATTTGAGAATTCAAACTAAATTCAGTGTTATTAGTTCTTATATTTTAAAATTTATATTGAAATACAGTGTTATTGGTTCTATGATTTTAAAATCTATAATGAAATACAGTGTTATTGGTTCTATCATTTTAGAATCTAAGTATTATAAGGATTTTAGTTTTAATTGAATTTGAATGGATTTGGAAGGATTTTCATGACTAAAATACAAAGATCCAAATGGTATTTGAGTGGATTGATTTTTTTCCATTTTGCTGATTTTGAAATCAATAAATTTATCAAATCCAAAAAAGATTTATAAATCCACCAAAATATAAGAACCAATAATCTCTACTTAGACTTAGTTTCCGGGGATTTTTTATTTTTCCGCCGGTTAGTTTCCCTCTTTTGGGCTTTGTTTCCGGGAACTTTTAGTTTCCCTCTTTTGGGCTTTGTTTTCGGGAACTTTTTTTGTTCAGTCGGTTTTATATTTCATCCCTGATATTTAATATTACTAGATGAAAAAAAGCAATATCTACTCTCTCTGTTTTTTATAAGATGTTTTAGAAAAATTTTTTGTTTATAATCAGATGATGTTTTTAAAAATCAATACAAAAAGTAATTATTTTATTCTATATATTATTTTTCTATTGGTTGAAATAAATAACTTCTTAATTCTTGTGCAAAATCTTAAAATTCATATATAAAAAACGGAGAAAATATTATATAAAGACTGAATGTGACACGCAGCATCCCCTCTGTGACACCTCAACACATATTTTTTTTTTTTAATACTTCTATAATACAAAAAGTCGGTGTCTCGCCTCTCTTTAATAATCTCTCAACAAAACTTTTTAAGATTCTATCGTTCCAACTTCATAGTCTTTTAAATTCCGTAATCTCGTAACTTTGATTTGCATCCTCTTTCTCTTCTTTACTAATATCCTCTTTCATTTTTGTTTTCTGGTTTATGCCTGAAGTTTTTGCAACTTTCTAAAAAGCCTCCGAGTATTTGATTTTCCGTTCGCAGATCATACGGTCTCGAGAAGATGGGGCAAATTAAATGTCTCTATCTCTAAAAAATTTCCACATTTCGAATCTCTCCACCGATATGTTTAATAGTGTAGAGCCTCTAAAGCAATGCAGAGCCTGTCAGAGTTTGGAAATCAGGTCGGTTTGTTCCCGTCGAAGCCCTTGTGTTGAACCCGGACAGATCCATTGGAGCTCGGAGCTGTCTTCTCGAAATTTTAGAAGCCGATATGTCGGATCGGATGTGGTCACTGGGGAAATCTTCGGTAGATTGGTCTCGGAATGGGCATATAGCGATTTGAAGGATGAGACTTTAAGCGATTTGGAAACGGTGAATAATCAACCAATCAGCACATTTGGCACTTATGCCAGCAAAGCATATATGCAAGTCCCCTCTGCTCCACCGGGTGCCTGGCCCCTTCTTCTATCTTATCTACTGCCTGATGAAGATGAGGAGAGAAGAAGGTGAGGAAATGATTCAGGAATACAAATAATGACCCGCGTGTATATTCTCGATGACTCCGCCAAAAACACCATGGATATAGTAGGACTCACCCAAAGGTAAAGTACAACTTTATTTTAAATCCCACTTTCCGGAACATAATCACCACATTGTTCTGTTTCTCTGTTATTCTCTGCAACAAAAAAAAAATAATAAGTATATATATTAATTTTAACAAGATTCATATAATGAAATCAAATGCTAGAACCACTTGAAGGGGCTTCCCTGCAATGTTTTAAATAAATAAATCTCTTTAGTTACTGAGGTTGAAACCGTTCGTATTAGTTAAATAAATAAAGTATGCTGTTGTTAATTACTTCTTTGTTAGCTTAAGATATATCAATCTCTTTATTTCACTTTCTAGATTCTTGACCAGTTACCACCCAAGAACTCAGGAAGTTCACTAAACACACACAAAACCAGAAAGTTTTAGGATTTAAGAATTTGGGGCTAAAATGCAGAGATATGGAGTTTTTTCGGTGATCTCACTTTGGTATGTGCTCTAAAATTTATGTCTGATGCTTAATCTATAAAGGTCTTTTGTTAAATCCATGTTTCTACGATAGAAGCTTAACAATTTCCCCCTCGCGTCTTAGGTTGATATCGCTACAGGTGGATGTCATTCAACAATTTTAACCGATGAAGAAGAGGTATTAACCTCATGAAACTCTTATTGTTCTAATGTCTCAAGTTTATTTCATATTCAGTTGGATCTTAGTTCTTGGTCAAGCCATTGCTGGGTTGTTTTCTAAGCTTGATGTAGATCTTCATGTTGTGACTTGGTTGTGTCCAATATTAGGTGTATGATTGAGGAAGAGGAGAACATGGAAGGCTCAGGTTTGGTGACAATGACAAGAGCAGCAAAATAATAATAGACATGAGCAAAGCGCAATGTGGTAATAAATCAAACTCTGTGTTTGTTTTCAAGTCAATGAAATAAATCGCAAGTCAATTTCGGATTCATGAGGAAGAACGTTTCGTATGTTAGTTAAGTGAACCCATTAATCTAGAGTTGATTCATCGTTAATGAGAATGATTCATGGAAGTCTCTTTTATGTTCTAATTTTCTATAACTTATTCTTTGAAGTTCCACTTTCTACCTGTTTAGTTCACAAAAATCCATGTCTTTTATACTTGGCAGACAGAGCGACTCGTGAACAATTTTCATCCGGCTTTCAATCATTACGACTCACAGACACAAATATATTCCATGTGATTTAAGGCAAAAGCTTCTTGGTGGCCTAGATTGCAACTTGAATCAGAATTTCCAGTCAGGTACTCTATGTCCTACATTAATGATTTCCTAAGTTTATTCATTAATATTTGTTAGTAGTGTTGTATATGTAAGGCCATCAACTTTTTGCTTATAGAAAAAGAGAATTTCAAATGTCTGTTTTTTTCTTTTTTGGGAAATATACTAAATTGTCTAAAACTGTTAATCTAAATTGCTTATATAAGCTGAAACCATTGTTAGATATGGACTTATAAGACAAGATCTTAAATCTAACATTATTGAAACAATGCACTCCAAAGGTGGGGGAATGTTTTTGAACTTCATATTGAAAGTTTTGGAGCTGAAAATTAGTTATCCCAACTCACATCTATCGATAGTTATGGGCTGACATTTCTTGGTATTAAAGTTACGCCGCTGCCTGAGTTCCAGCCACTGGCGACCAGCAGCACCACCAAAGGCATCTATGAACCCTCATGCCTTCGCTCCTGAATCGTTCTTATCATAATTGTTCATAATGTGGAGATCGATCGGGATATCTTCCCAGATACATTCAACAACGACCATTGATTCTCTTTAGAGATTTGTTTCTAAAATGTTTTGAAAAATGCGAGATGAATTTGAATTATTTGCTGTTTTGATTACAACAACCCGAGGTGAACCCAATGATGAAATTACGTGAAAGATCTTTCGCAAAGCATATCAATATCAGATTCTAGAAAGTGCACAGCATTTACGCTTATGGTAGCGTTACCCAAAAACGCAGTATATTTTCGATTAAGCATTTGGAGTGACTCAAAAGAAGAACAAGCAAGTTAATCGAGAAAAAATATCGTCTACAAGGAGATTTTCAATAACCTCATATTTAGTGATGAAAGTATAACAAAATACATCATTAGTGATATTAATATATTGGAAAAAGGTATTTTAAACACTTGACCTCAACACGAGAAGAAAATAAAGAAAGTGTAATCGGTTAAAGGACAAAGATTAGGTATGTGCCCATAATTGTAATAAGAAAAACAATAACATAGATAACAATTTCAAATTTTCAATAACATCACAGTTCATTTTTTCAAGGCAAATATATCAACAGTATTTCGCTGAAGCTATAGATTTCAATATTTTTTTGTAAAGTAAAGTTATTTGGTTGTTTTAAAAGAAACAAAATATTTTTGCTATTTATTTTTTACAAACATATAAAAATTCAAAAAAAACATCTAAATATTTGAAAATAAAAGAAATAATAAACATAAAAATAAATTATTACCAAACAGATGTATAGTTATTTAAAATATTATATTAATTATAATTTTTAAAATCTAACATATATTAAAGAGGAAGCATTAGTAGCTTATGTGTCATTATCTCAGAATTTTGAATTTTTTAAATCTCAATAATGGTTAAAAACTTAAATAATATTTTTTGCAACCAAATACAATCTTTTTTGTAACCAATTAAAAACTTCTCTAATTATTTATTTTTTAATTGAATTTAATGTTTTTTTTCAACATTTAATGTTTAAAAATCTGCAATTAATATTTAAGTTTTTGTATATAATTTAAACAATTCGATTTAAATAAATATGACAGAAAATTTAAGTGAATCTTTATTTTTTTTAAAATAGTATCTAACATATATTAAACATGAAACATTAGCTTAGGTGTCATTATCTTCTTTTTTCTAATATTTTTTATTGATTTATTTTTCTGTATTATCCTTATTACCAAATACTTTATTTTAAATCATTTAAATTAAATCGAATTTAAATCAAACGAATCACAAATAATTCGATAATTTCATTGGATTAGTAAATTAAACTAGTTACCTGTTTTATTAATAGAAAAAAAAATTATTTTCAAAAAAAATATTATTTTTTAAAATATCAGACGAAAGTAAATGTAAATCTCGTTTTATATAAATTTAAATTAAAAACGAAAATAACTAAATTTTCTCAAATTTCGACTCAACTTTTTTGGATACCCAAATATTTTTCAAAACTTAATAAATTATATAATATCTTTTAAATATTTTTATAAACATTATCCTACACGAACGTGCAGATAATAACCTAGTATATAATAAAACAGGTGTACAGGCGGTCATCACCTAATTTTTTTGTATGTAAAAGAAAGACTCACAACATAAGAACCTCATTGTCTTCCACGACATCTGAAGCCACGATATCGTTTTAATGCAAAGTCTTTAGCTGATGTGGGCGAGTTTGATTGGATGATATAACTTTGTCGTACAGTAGAATTGGTTGGAACTTAGAATCAATGAATTGAAACCACCTCCATTATTGAGCGAAAAACGATAAAGTAAATTTCTCAAAATACAGAGAGGAGAAACGAATGAAACAAGGGATGCTTTGATGCGAAAGTTGCTTATTCCGACTACTACGAACAGCTAGCTGAATCGGTTTGCTTGCCGATCCCTAGCGTTTGATTAATCTGGAGAACGGCGATGGCATCGCCTGGGTCGAAGAAACTTGTTACCGCCGACGGATCGGAGAAGAAATTGTCCGGTAATCTCGGAACAATCGGCGATCTTAGTGATAGTGGAAGCAGCAGCCGTGGCAGCGGCGGAGAAGGAGGAAAGTTTGATTATTTCGGTTGGGTCTATCATTTGGGTGCGAATAAGATCGGGCACGAGTATTGTCATCTCCGCTTCCTTTTCATCAGAGGCAAATACGTCGAGATGTACAAAAGAGATCCTCACGAGAACCCAGACATTGTATGCTTTTTCCTCTTTCTTTCTTTTGTTTTTTATCCTTCTCGTTGAATATGTGCTTTGTTGTTCTGAATGGTTCACAAGATTAGTTTCAGAATCTAGATAGTAGAAGAACCAAATCCAATTGTACGTAGTGCTGTTCAGCTTTATGATTTTCTCTTTGTTGGCTATTTTGAATTCTGCTTGGTTCCTTATAAATTTTATGAAAACACCTAGTCTGCTTAGTTTCTAATTAAGAACTGTGTAAGTGGGAGTGTGTATTATTTCCAAGAGTTACATGCCTATTAATTTCACTGTTGTGTGAAAAGTGAGAACCACCATGTGGTTGATTATTTATATATTACTATATTTATAGAGATTTTGAACTGAATGATCACTATATTCTCTTTTCTGTAGAGACAGAACAAAATTTCTGACCTTTTTTCTTGGGTCGTGTTTTTGTTGTTTTAAGCTTCCTTTTATTGAAATGAAGTTGGCCACGTTTATCAGGCATTTATATTTTAATATATTAAACAACTTGATCCAAAACATAATTTTTTTTTTTGCATCTTTCCTTTATGAATTTTGAAATAGAAATGCCAACGAGGTTGTGTTTTGATATTCTATTATATCCATTTTGTCTTCTTCTTTTCTGTCTAGAAACCTATAAGGCGTGGTGTCATAGGGCCTACAATGGTGGTTGAAGAGTTAGGACGTCGCAAAGTTAATCATGGGGTAATACTCTTAATCTCTACTTCTTTAGTTCACGGCAGCTTGTGTAGAATAAAGAACTGTTATTCCCTTTTTCTGTAACTTATCTTACATATTAATTGTATTCTCTAAAGAATGAAAGTATGAAACTAAATGAGAGACAGGTACACTTACTGATTTGAATTCTATCTTGTAGGATGTCTACGTCATAAGGTTCTATAACCGGTTGGACGAGACGAAAAAAGGAGAAGTAAGTTAAAATTCCCTCTTTGAATGGCCTTTTGTTGACGAAAATGTGCACTAGACTCAAAGCTTGCCACTGTGAATTTGAGTTTGTTTCGGAAGGTCTCTGATTTTCTGTGTATTTGCAAACTTGGATGAACCAAACAGCTAACTTCTTGAGTAAACATCTTAGAGATCATAGATTGTTTCTGGTAAGTATGTTTGCCTGACCCAGGTGCATAAAGTAACCTTTTTCCCCTATAAACTGTAGATTGCTTGTGCTACCGCTGGAGAAGCCCTAAAATGGGTTGAGGCTTTTGACAAAGCAAAACAGCAGGTACTAAGGAGACTCTGCTCAAGTTTTATTGAATCATGTAATGTATTGAAGTTCTATCGTTTATGTAGCATATAATCGGCCATTTCTTCAAAGTTTATTTTGCTGCTTGTTATTGAAGCATTTATTAAGTGCTTATTGGGATGGGGATCACTAGTTGTTTTGTTTTCTTCTGATTACTGCTTTGTCTGTTTTGGAAGGCTGAATATGCACTATCGAGAGGTGCAAGCTCAAGAACAAAATTAAGCATGGATGCCAAGTATGATCTAATTTCATATGCTAAGTGCCTTAGATTAGTCTCTCTGTTCTTAAACAGATCTCGAATAGTAGAAGTCCACTATTAGTCTACAGTTTCTGAATCACGCTATTTTATTGTGAAGCATCGATCTGGAAGGACATCGACCTAGAGTAAGGCGTTATGCTTTTGGATTAAAAAAGCTTATCCGAATTGGGCAAGGTACTATTCTGCATTTCAAGTTTATGGGCTCGCATAGTTTCAGAATCTTCCATAAGCATGCATTAAGATTCAAAAATGGTTACGCAAACGAAACAATTTGATGCAGCTGTCATCTTTTGTTTTCAAGAACAAAAAATGTTTTTTTTTGTCAAGTTTTTTGTACAACATCAATTGGTTACAACAAACTTGTGCATATCTAGTGTATAGTTATGATCATAGCTTATGGGAGGAGCTCCAAATCTTACATTGTAAAAATAAACTCTAGTACTCAGTACTTATTTTCCTAGTTCCCTCTATCTTTGGTTTAGGCCCATGCAAAATGATTGGATATTGACGTATAGTGGTTGTAGTGTCAAAATTCCCACTGAGTGTTGAGTTCCCTGAAAATTCTGATTATTTCTTCATAAAAATAGATCAACATTGGATTTAAAATATACGTTCTCTTGCATATAAGTGAAACTATAGTTATAGTCCTATGGCATTTGACTCTATTATGCATTTATATTCTTAGGTCCATAGTTATATTGAAATTCTATCAAGTTCTTTAATAAATTTTAATCGGATTTTTTTAAGTTTTATGTAGTTATTAATGTTTCAAAACATAGGTCTCACCTGAAAGTTGATTTTCTTTCAAAACAAAGATGTGTGATTATGTTCTTGAATTACAGGTCCGGAGACTCTTTTGAGGCAATCTTCTACCTTGTTTAATGATGCCAGGAGTGATGGTTTCTATGAGGGTGGTGACAATGGAGATGCAATCGAGGCACATCAATGGAAATGTGTTCGTACAATCAATGGTATACTTGGCGGTAAACTGTAGCGTTTTGAAATGAGACAACTTGCACATTACAAACTTTATCTACAGAATGTCCCCACTGGCACTTAGTTCATCTATAACACTTGCCTTAAAATTTATTTTCGTGGGGTGTCCTTTTGACTATGCATACTTCTCTCTTAGTTATAAAGATGTAATTGTAGAAGACTCATAATAACCAAAAAGATGCGGACATTACTTGGCCAATGATTTTATGCTGGCCGTTATTATCTCTATGAATTAGAAGGTTGTGTGGCAAGATAGTAGTCTCGTACTAACGCCCTAAAAACATTGAGCCTGTTCTTATTCTTTGCTTGCTCTTTCATACATAACCTTCAGTTATTTATTTTTCTGTATATTATTTGCAGGTGTTCGGATTTTTGAAGATGTGGCTAACTTCAAGGTATATATACTTCTATTCAGAATATAATTCCAACTATATAGACAGAACTGCTTTATTGAAAGCCAGTGGTAGTTTCCCATTTCAAGTTAGCTTTCCGGTGACTTCTTTCCCTTGAGTGTGATGATTGATAAGGATCAATTATTCGATGGTTGTCCCCACTTACTAGGCCTTGGAAATTTTTGGATATTTTGCCAGTCAGACGAATGGAAACTAAACCACCTTATTTTCTGTTTTCATTAAAATATTTGCAGTCTTGTAATTGCCATCATAAATGGCAAGGTAACAAATTGAACTTACGTCTTATAATTTAAGTGTTCTCAACTCCAGAATTTATGGCATCATCATTATTGCAAATTTGCAGTAATTTATGCCAAGGTGGCAACTCGTATTTTTTTTATTTAGTTGTTTTGCTACTGGAACTGTAATTGGTTGTATTCGGTTATTGTTTGAATACGAGCATGCCCCTCAGATTTTGTCAAAATGGTTTCTTCTTTAGGCTGGTAGAGGAGTTCTTGTGAAAGCAGTTGCTGTGGTTGAAGCTAGTGCGGATGCTGTGTTCGAAGTGATTCTAAAGCTTGACAAACATCAAAGATACGAGTAAGCTCACTTCCTTAAAAATATAGATGTCATTTGTTAATTAGTTCTTTCTAACTATCTAGACAGGTGGGATACAGTAACAGGTGACTCGGAGTTGATAGACTCGTACGAGGGCCACTATGATGTTGTTTACTGCGTATACGATCCTAAGTACCTTTCACGGTATGTTGTTTAACTGAAAGTTCTGGCTGTCCTTAATGACACATTGATCGCTATGTATTCTTTAGTGAAAAAATCTATATATTAAAATGTCTTGGTATCTGTCCTCTAATCATATGTTAGTTTTCCCCAGTTTGGACATGTTGTACATTTTTGCATATATCACTTAATTCAATGGATAACCTTACATTTACGTTATTTTTCATTGATCTCATCGGTTAAATAGTATATTTTTCAGATGGCAATCGAAGAGGGATTTTATTTACTCTAGACAGTGGGTTCGTGGACAAGATGGGACATATAGTAAGTAGATAACAATACTATTATAATGTTTTCTTATATATCAGTCTGATAATGTCTGTATCGGCTATGCACAAAGTTGGAGATTTATTTTAACCCTAGCCCCCTGGGATGCTAATGAGTCGCCTGGCCTATAGTTGTCTTTTTAAAGACAGGATTAATTTGTCAAGTGTTTATATGTTTGCAATATCAAATGCAAAAAAAAAAAAAATCCATATTGTATTGTTTATTTCTCTCTCTCTATGAGCCGGTGAGAGAAACATTAGTTATTCATGTAAAAAGTTTAAAGAAACCTACATATAAATAATAAAAATCTGAATTTCACAGTTACAGATTTTGAAAATCTCTGTCAACTCACCACTGCCATCTAGAAATCTTAGTCATGCACTCTTCTCTCTAATATTGCTTAGGATGATATCTTCATACTCATGCGACCTGGAGTATCATTTAATTCATTATTTTTTGCTGTTGAAAATAGCTATTCATTATATTTCTTGAACTATTCGCTCAGACTGTATCTTTGTATGCAGCAATCCTACAGTTTCCTGCAGTGCATAAGAAACGGCCTCCAAAGTCTGGATATCGACGTACAGATATTACTCGTAAGATAATTTCTCTTCATGACCTTTCTATATCTAGCGTTTACCTTTATTGATATGCTGCATGTCAGTATTTCTCATTGTTAAGGCATTTTCTATCCCAGTGTTTCCAGTACTGATCTAAATGGTACTTCGATAGCCAGAGGTTCTTTGTCCTTGTGCATACTTATTTGCTTGTGACCTATCCATCTCTACAACAGTGTTGAGTTCTAGAGCTACAACTTTCAGTCAACTAGCTGGTTTAGAGATTAAGTTCTTTAATGCTCAGAAAATCTAGAACTGACTCGTTAGGCTCCTGGGAAATCTTATTGGTTTGTAAAGCATATCACGTAGGATGCTTCTCTAGTGGTTTATTCTACTGCTCTTTTTCATTTTGACTTACTTTTTTTGTTTACTTTAACTTTCTTCTTTCTCGCTGGATCAGATAATATGCATTCTCATTGTGGACTTACATAACGCCTAGGAAGCACAATTTTTCTTCTGCTTTTATGACTTTTCTTCTCTTTCCGTTCTTGCTGATTACAGCATCCACTTGGGAAATCAGAAACTTGAAGAAGCGCACAGATGCAGAACCTCCAAGTTGTCTTGTAACACACATGCTAGAAATCCACTCTAAGCGTTGGTGCAAATGGAAGAGAACTAGCTACTCAAAGTTTGAAAAGACTATTGCATATGCATTACTCCTCCAAGTAGCAGGTTAAATGCATGCCTTATCTTCTGCCAGATTCTGTTGTAGCGTATGAACACAAAAAATGAAAAACGTCAGTGATGTGATTTTTGTGGTATCCATAGTACTTTTGAGAGATGGAACTCATGTGAGCATCCGAAAATGTAGCTGTGCTATGATGTAGATCAGTAATCCAATCTGCACTTGTTTGGGATAAAATTATAAGTCACATGTTTCACGGGGTTTAAGTTTCAAATTATTATTAGTGGTATATCAGGTCTGAAGGAGTACATTGGAGCCAACCCAGCTTTCAAGTATGAAACTTCTGCCACGGTTGTCCAATCCAAGTTATCAGATGTTCCCAATGGCGAATATGTCGATGAGGAAATGGAGGAGCAGTTTTATGATGCCACAGACTCATCATCTGATGAAGAGGAAAGCGATGAAGATGATGATGAACAGGACAAAAAGGTAACTTGGTTTTGTTTTCTTCTCGTGTCTTTATATTTTTATTTTCACATTATAGAGTAAAAAAATCACGAGTAGACCTAAAAAGCCAAAAGCTTTCTATATTGAAATACGAAGGATAAAGTAAAACACCCAAAATATAAAAAGTGTTTCTCGTAGTATAAGCACATTATCTCTGGGCATTGCTGATAAACCTCCAAAGCACTCTCTAGCTTCGATGAGTCTCAAAGCGAGACTTCATCCACTAAATTGTAAAGGCAAAGCACTTAGGAAAAGGAAATAAGGAATGGAAGCTTTTAATAATTTTCCTAAATAGGGAAATACAAAGAATACGAACCACACATAATCTAATGTTTGAAGTTCCTATTAACTATTTTCGTACAAACAACTTGTATGCGAAGTTATTAATCTGTTGTTCTATATTAAGAACAGGAGATAAAAGTTAAACTGAAGAATGTTTCATGGGCAATTGCTAGCTTATCTTTGAAGCGGCCTAAAGGTTCTCTCTTTACTTTTTTTCTAGACCATTAAGTTTACCAATGGCTACAGATAGGCAGTATAATAGATTAATAGTCATTGATAATTTACTGGAGAACCTAAAAGACTGAAGGTTATATATTTCAATTCATCTTAGTCTGTGCTATCTGCGATTCAAGCAAAGCAGTAATGTAGTACATGTATCTTATCGGCATTTGTTCCCAAAGCTATTCAACTGTTTCATAGTATCTGTATGTATGCACTTGTGTAAAAATATCGTACTATATTTTGATGAGAACGAATAGCTGTTTGTAGCCTACCATTTCAGAAATTTTTGACACACTAGAATTGAGAAGCACTTTTTTTATTTTGTTTTAAAATCTTACTATGCATTAATAGAACAGTTTATTTTGACATCAGCTCCAGGCGCAAGTAACGTATTAGACGCTAGTGTTGATCCTGTGAATATCGATCCAAGTCAGTTCCAAGGATCCCTACGCAAAGGAAATGGTGATAAGGACTCAAATTGCTGGAATTCTCCTAGTGGCATGGGTTTTATGATCAGGGGAAAGTCTTACCTGAAAGATAATGCAAAGGTATATTTAAATTCTTGCATCTTCTTCAATACATCGTTTGAAACAGAAATGGGCCTGTTTAATTTTTGCCACAACATTAAGGTCCTCCTTGACCCAACCATGTTTCTGAACTTGTTCTGACCCAACCATATCTCTTCAATGTTATCTCTCTCCCTGTATGTATTAGTTTACCAGATTGATTTCTGAATCTGTTCTGAAAATTTGAGCTCTTGAATTGAATTATCTGACGAAGTGCTTTCAACAATGGTTCCTGTTATGGTAATCTGCGTGCAAATTTAATAAAATCTATGGTAAAATTCAAGGTGATGGGTGGGGAACCCCTTCTGAAACTTGTATCAGTGGATTGGCTTAAACTTGATAAAGCTGTAGACAACATCGCTCTGCATCCGAAATCTCTTGTCCAGGTACTTCAATTTTATGAATGTGTTAAGACGTCGCGTCGGACCTCATCGCATGAGGCATTGCGCCATGCCCATTCATTATTTAAGATTTTCTTCAATTTCTCCGCTTACTTGACGCTAAGACTTGTGATAATCTCTTAGTTAACGAGTCGTTAAAGTATGTTGTAAAGTAAGAAGAAAACATACGAACTCTATGTCTTTACTTACCCGTGGTTGAAGGAGCCTGATTTGGAAGTTTTCTCATTTGTAGTCAGAACCTGGGAAAAAGCTGCCATTCATCCTTGTTATCAATCTTCAGGTGTGAATACTATCTGCAACATAAACTCTCTATATATCTGTCAGTCTTTTCGCAAAAGTTTGTTTGAATACCAGCATATATCAATATACTAATTCTGAGCGAAACATCATGTTCATCTTTGTTTACTTGTTAGTAACAATGTGCCACACATGTATAACAGATACCTAGTGTTTTGGAAGTACAAACTACCATCACAAATCATTTTTCCCTGCCTTAAAAGTCCATCCAAGTCTAAATTTTATTCAAAATTGTGGGAAAGGTTTGTATCCGGAAGAAGTCAAAATGTTTCTTTTCCCCTTTTTCAGGTACCAGCAAAGCCTAACTATTGTTTGGTCCTCTACTATGCTGCGGATCGACCTGTAAGCGAGTCATCGTCCCTGGGAAAATTTGTAAATGGGAATGACAGTTACCGCGACTCAAGATTTAAGCTGATCCCAAGTATTGTTCAGGTAAGGAAACTCTGCTCTTCTTGTTATCTCCGAAATAGAGTAAATTTGATTAAATGTTAACAGTCATGGTGAATTATAGGGATATTGGATGGTCAAGCGAGCTGTTGGAACAAAAGCTTGCTTGCTTGGTAAAGCTGTAACCTGCAAGTACCTGAGGAAGGATAATTTTCTGGAGGTAGATATGAAAGTTGTATTGGAATTACTTTTTGACAAACCAAAAAATGTAGTAGTTGTCCAACATACAGACACATGGTTGCTGAATTCTCATGAAACTGTGGTATTGCAGATTGATGTAGATATTGGATCATCGGCTGTTGCGAGGAGCGTTATTGGTCTGGTCCTTGGTTATGTCACAAGCCTCATTGTTGATCTCGCCATCTTGATTGAGGTTAGTTTCGGCGTCTCGCTTCTAGACTTTGTTATATACAAGTGTGCTTTCGCTTTTGGTGAAACATCTTCTGTTAATGCAAATGCAGGGAAAGGAGGAAACAGATTTGCCAGAGTATATTCTTGGGACGGTTCGGCTTAACCGAATAGAGCTGGACTCAGCCGTCTCATTTGAGGTTTGAGACTTGATTGAGTGCATCAATCACATTGCTTTTAATAAGACTCGCTGAACTTTTCATAACAATGCAGGAATGAAGAACAACCAATGCCTTTGGCGAGATAGAGACAAGAAGTGAAACAACGACAAAGGAATGACGAAAGACACTTTAGATTTTGTTTCTTTCATAGATGCACTTTATATTAAACTTAAAAATTCCCGATAAGACCAGCAAATTTGAAATTCCAGGGAATATCAAAAGAAGGTAGATTAATTTGCCCAATATGCTTACTAATTGGATCTTGCCTTTTAGTTTTGCTTACTAATTGGATCTTGCCTTTTAGTTTGGCCGCCTTAATCTCTCTCTGTATTTTTCAATGTTTTCACCTTGACAGTATGCTACAACTTCGGAATAGTACAAATCAGAAATTTAAAAATATTTGATGAAAATAATTATAAAATGAAGCACTTTCGAAAGCGTTATTAGGTGGCTAACTTGCACATGTTTTTTTTTATATACATAATTAATTATGATATTTAAGCATTTATTAATTTTCTTATATATTTTGTAAATGTTATGTTTATCTACATATTCAATTTTAATGTTTAACAACAATCACACAAATCTTTCATATAATTTTGTACTGTTTAAAACTGATTTTTTTTTTTTTTCTTCTCTCTAGCATTTATAGTGACATAATTGCAAATGTAAAATTTATATTAAATAATAACTAAATTCTTATAATATGTTTTAAATATTATCTATACAATGCTTTCTTTTTCCCTTTACAATATAATATTGCCACTATATATATTTAAAGTGTTTGTTTTTCATTGATTAATTGCTAATTTAATAAAAATAAGTTTTACCATCTTTATTTATTCTAAGAATGGATAAATGGTTGATCCGTACATTCGTGCATACCAGCCATCTCACCTCTCTAAGGACAGATAATTTTTTTAAAAAATAACTAAAATTAAAATTGGACTGTAATCGATGTTAACAAAATGCATGCACGATAAGTTCGCATGCTACTTCGATTTTTGGACAACTAATATTTATATTCATATACATATTTGTGAAAAAATTGAAGTATGGCTTTTACGTAATAGAAAAAAATAACAAAATATATATTTTATAATAAATATTTTTATATTGTATGGTTGTATTTTAAAACGAAATAAATATGTACATTTATGTATGTAAGTATGGGTTAAAAATAAGTGAATTGTAATATTTAGGTGTTCATTAATTTTTCTGATATTTTCTGTGAATGTTATGTTTTTACATAATGCAGTTCTTGGCGTTTAACAGCAATTACGAAAACCATTTCTATCGTTTTGTATTTAATTAAAATTTCTTATTTTTAAGTGTTTTATGTTATAAAGTTATATTAAATATTAATAAAAATTACAAATAACTTAAAAAAAATTAAAATATAATATTTGACCTATCATGAAAATAAATATAGTACATTGGATAACCTATTATTATTTTCCTTTTAAATAATAATTATAATCAATATTTGTTAAGAAATTTGTGAAATCATATTTTATTAAATTCTCTGGCAGTTCTCCGCTCATCTCTTCGTCTAATATTGAGGAATTGGTTTGATAGAGAAAATAATTTTCTTATGGTTGGCCTGCATGCATGTGTTTATTATGAAATATGACATGCACATGCGTTTATTATAAAATTTGTTTCTTAAGATTTTTAAATGACTCCTTTAAACAAAGCACGAGAGTTTTACAAAAACAAAAAATTGTAGAGATTTATTTTTATTTTTACTTATACTTCTTATTCATATTTGTTTCATCTTATTATAATTTATTTTTTCATCCGATTATTTTTTTGTTTTATTTCTGAAGACCCCAAGAAGAAGAAGAAGTTGGCCAAGCCGGCCGAGAAGGGAGCCAAATCTTCGAGAGCAGGTGCGTTACCAGATCGAAGTAACTTTTGTTTTGATTATTTTTTGGAGAGTAGCACCTCATTTGCATGTTTGTTTGATATTTTCAGCCGCTAAGAGGGTTTCACAGCCGAGGTCCGAAGGAGTCGGCCAAAAGAGGAGAAGGGCGGCTCCGGCAATGGGAGCAAATACCCCTGCAAGCTCCCCTACGAAGCGGAGGAGAATGACTCCTCGAGTCACACCCATATAGGTGGATTCCGACGAAGCCGAGCCGACTTCGGAAAATGAGACTCTTGCGAGGTAAACCCTTATCCTTAATTTATGTTTTGTTTTGGCGAGCCGAATGACCTCCTGACATTTTGCTCTTTTTTTAAAAAGTTTCTCCAGGACAGCGGCGCTGGAAAGGTTGAGGCGAGCCAGGGCCGAGAAGGCTGCAAGAGACCCTCAAGGCAAAGTGTTCCAAGGAACTACCTCTCAAACCGAAGGCAAGGTTGATGGGGCCCCCCTGATGCTGCCGCGAGCTGTCGCGAGGTTGTTCCCTCGCCGCCCCTGGCCAATGTTCCTCAGAGTCTCAGGGTCCGGGATACAGAAGATGCAGGTTGTTCAAGGACCAAAGAAGCCGCTGCGGCTCGTCAGGAGGCTGAACTTCCACCCAAGGGTTCTGCTTCCCCAGAAGGTACTGGTCTGGAAGTGCAGGAAGAACCCAAGGTGGGGTAAACCACTTCGAGACTGAAGCTGGCAGAGTCAATATCTTCGGCGAATCATCTGATAGTCCGGGTATTTATTATTATTATTATTATTATTATTATTATTTTTTGGTGTTAGTGCGTTTCTGCCCTTTTTTGCGCGTCTCTAACAGTAGATCGTGGTGCAGGTCTTGGGAGCGTATATGTCCGCATTCGCGACATATGACAACAATTTTTATCAGGAAGAGATGATGCTGGACGTCGCCTGTGCTGAGATCAAAGAGCTCAAAAAGGCGGAAGAGGAGAATCAGCTTCTCAAAGAAAGGTGTTCCCAGCTCGAGGGCACCATCGAAGCCTTTTGGGTTGAGGTGGCGGAGGTATCTCAGCTTCGCAAGCAAGTCGTGGCCCTCCAAGCACAGAATGAGGTCCTCGAAAAACGGAACGAGGAGTCTTCGCAAAGGCTTGCTGAGAAGGAGAGACTCCAAGGTTCTCGTGATAAGGCGAAGCGAGATGTTGCTGGCAAAGTTTTTGACAGCATGGTTGCCTGGTTTAAACCGCGAATGGAGCGGGTTCAGGAGTCGCTTGCCCAGCGAGAGGAGGTCGAAGCTGCCTTGGTTGGCGTAGAAAAAAGTGGTGCCATGGTGGCTTATATGAAGAAGATGCTTGAAAAGGGGTGGGAACTCCCTTTTGGCACGCTCCCAGCCTTTGAGAAGGAATTTACGAAGTTGCAGGCCGCAAGTAGTGCTATCGACGAGATAGCTATTACCGATGACGATCTTAGTCTGCCGAGCAGGTTAGTATCACTACGTGTTTTTTCGTAGAAAAAGACTTCGCTTTTTTGTTTAAGCTTGTGTTTATTTTTTTGCTGGCAGATCTGTTATCGAGGAGCTGTTGAAGCAGGCACAAGGAAGGTCGTCAGAGCCAAGGGGTGATTCGAGCTGAGCGGATATCTTCCTTGTATTTGTTTTTTTTTTATTGTAATTTGGCCTTTGTACAGCCTCTCCTTTTTTTTTGTAATGACATTGCCCGAAAAGGTTTTTATAATGAAATTTTGTTTTTGCTTTTTTTTTTTGCAAAAGTAAATTAAAGTATTCGCTAAACTTTTAAAGTTTCTGTTATGCAATGGAACTTTTTAGTTCGGAGTTGGGAGCGGGATTCCTTTGCCCGTCTTATACCAAACGACGATCAAAACCAAATACCAAGCTTTCAGGATTCACTTCGGCCTGAAAGGTATGATCGAGGATCGTGCGAGTATTGTCCTCGGCTTTCGTCTTATCTACTTCGGAAGTAATTAAATTGATATCTCATACATTTACATCATTTAGGCTTGCATTCAGTACATGTTTTGGTTCTCTTTTGCATGTCTTCCTTATCTTTTGTCCCATTTTCTTCTCCTTTTAGACTTAGGTTGCATTTAAGATGTAGTTTGCATTTTCTTTGCACAAAAGATGTTTTTAGGTGCTTATGGAGCTATGAGGAGCAAGAAGAAGCTTTGGGAATGAACCAGGAAGCTAGCTGAGCTGAAATGGAGCAAGAGGAACCAAGGCAGACGATCTCTGCAGAGCGTATCGGTCAAGACACGAAGGCTATTAGTCAAGGAGTGACCGATAAAGGAGCTACCGATCAAGCCTATCGGTCAAAGAAGTGACCGATAGAAGTATACCGTGAGGATTCCGGTCACCCTATCGGTCACCTTCTAAACCGATAAGAATCCTATCGATCACCCTAATGGTCACATTCAGACCGATAGGATTCCAGACTGAAGACCACTTATTTACAATTTTACCATTTTGGCTTGGACTCCTTTAAATACGAAAAATACACTCTTTTATCCAGCAGTTCTTTCTTCCCTGTTTTAGCTTTTAGATATTTGTAACTTGAATCTTTGCTTGATTTTAATTAAAGTATACATTTATCTTCTTGTTTATTCTCTCTAATCATGATTAGTCATCTCTCTCTCTTTGAATTGATGGTTTTAATGGTGCTTAGTGAGTAGTCTTTTTAGTGATTTGAGATGGGTTAGGTTTAGGGAATTTGAGACTTAATCTATGATGTCTTAGTGTTAATTCTTCCATTTCCTTTCTTGATTACTGTGTTTAATGCTTGATTAGCCCTAATTAGGTTGATTAAGATTTTAGACTCATTTTATGCCCACCAAGTGTTTGATGAAATGCCTGAACTGCTTTGCAAGAGAATTGCTTATCCTAGCTCAAGAGATTGACTTTCTTGGGAGTGATTTGACAATATAGGGTTGATAGAATTGTCTTAATGCTTGCTGTTTATCATTTCACTAATGAGAATTAGTTCTTGACTTGGTAATTAGCAAAGAGAGTACCAAGAGATTGGAATAGTCATATAAATGAATTTTATGCATAAGGAATAGCATTGTGTGAGTTTGTAAGCATCATAGGTTGAGTCAAGAGTTTCCTAAT